ATATATTTTATAAAGTTTTATGGCTAGATTCTTGATTTTTAAACAAGTAGATTGCTATTATAAAATTTGTTCATAAATACTGTTTTCTAATTCATTATTTTCATAAGTAATTCATTATTTCGATAAATGATAATTCATGATTAGATGAATGTTTGAATTTATACAATTAGGTTTTTAGGGCTTTTAGGGTTTTCGATTTTAATAAATCTTTGGATATCAAAATAAATTGAATCTTTTAGACTTCAAATCATTTTTGTGTTTCCTAAATATTATTCAAGTTAGAAATAATGTTTGCAATTTATTTTTATCGGTTTATTGGCATTCTATGTAGTAGTTTCGAGATTCAAGCAAAATTGAAGAATCAAGTATACTAGTCCTAGTTTTCAACTTTGACTTAAGTTCCTACAAGACTCGGACCTAATTTATACCACTAAGTCAAGTGCATGATGTGTGTATATGATTCGTGAAAAGGTGTTCGAGTCAAAGAGTGACCCGAATATGGATAGTCACTATAGTTAAGTAGTTGTAGAATTCACATATCAATGTGAAATCTAAGTACACTATCCATCGTTTCTAATTGTTTCCAAGTTTCTAGTAGGTTATAACTTCGCTTCTAGTTACTAAGTCTAGTATGTGTCGTGCCTATACGTGCAACTAAGTTTAGTCAAATCTAGAACCGACTCGAATTTTGACGGTTGTCACAATATGATTTCGTCAATATAAAGATAGTCGAGAATAAAATTCAACTGAGAGAGCTATGATTTTTATATGGGCTTTAACAATCTAAGCTTGTTAAATATATAGCTTTAAAAATAAAGGCAAAAATTAGTCGATGGATTCTAAACAAAAGTTGCAGATCTCGTCGATAGTTACGCGTGGATATAAAGAACGTCGACAAATGGATCTCATACGAAAATGATATGAATTATTATAGAATTTAGAATTTTCCACGGGCAGCCGCACACACAGACAAGGTGCACGGCGCGCACTGACATATCACCCAGATTTTGCCATGTGTCATCCTCTGACTGGAGCCACATCACCAAGCCCGACAAAACGTGTGTCATGCATCTGTGTTGCGCGTCATGAACCCCTACTATAAATAAAATTCGTTGGTTGTAGTGAAGCTCTGTAGTCCCAAAGAGCCCAGTTAGTAGAAGCTCTCGAGTTAGAGTTCTGCCAGTACAATTCTTGACATTTTTGCTAAAATCTCGATAAGTTAAGCTACGCTTCTAGTGTAACTTATATTTATATTCATAGTCATTTTTATGGATATATAAATAAGATTCATCAGTAATTCCAGTTATAATGTTGATTGATCTACTTACGGGAAATGTGTCTAGAATGGCCACATTGGCTTGGTTGTTGGATTTTAGAAAGGCTATATGGCGAAACGGTCATGCCTCCCAACTGTCTGGCATAGTTGATCCTTATTTGATAGAAATATGGGTATTCATTAGGATTAGTGAAAGATCTAGCTTTCATTACCAGATCATCATAAAAGTTAATAGGTTAAAGTATTATAGGTTAATACACATTCAACATGTTACCCATCAGCCGAATTGCTAGTAAGAATCGCCTAGATAGCTATCAATCTTCCGAGTCATTGTCAAGGTGAGTTATCTCACTATACCATGTACTACAATATATATCCATGTATATTAGGATAGGAGTTAGTAGAGTAGAAAGTATAAATGTGTTTGTATTAGTAGAATCTAAAGTTTAGTCTCTATGTGTGTAATTGTTGTGATATTCGACTTAGATAGAGGGTGACGATGGAACGATTAATGCGGTTGGGAACCTTTAATCCCGCATAAATTTAGTTTGAAGGGGGAATGGTTAAAGAGGTCGGGAACCTAATCCAAGCTACAAAATTTTTTGGCAGATCTTGAACCATTATATGTGTGCATGTATATTGTAGTGTATGGTATTTTGGGGAACTCACAAAGCCTAGCACTTACCTAGTTTTTATAAATGGATTTAGGTATTTCAAGAGAAGGGTAAGGTCTGACTGTCCACACACGCATTCACTACATTTGTCCACACAATATAATCACACTCTCATATATTTGAATAAATAAAAATGAAAATTTTGGATTGAAAATCGGGACGTTACAATGATTCTCATGAAAATCATCAAGGGAAAAAACTAGCACAAAAGCTAGTCTTTATGTCACTTGTAAGAGTCCTTATCTGATAGGCTTCCATACTTCAACGCACCATATCCCTAGATATTAATGCTTGTGAATAAGAAGCACGACTTTAAGAATAAATAAACAATTCAAACTAGCTTCTTACTTCCTTTATGAAAAATAACGACAATTATAAGGAAAAAAGAAGGAAGAATCACATGGCTTTCATGTAAGAACCATAAGCTTTCAAAACCCTTTCAAAATACTTATATCTTGCATGTATTATGCTTCCCATGTCCCATACTTTAATGATTATAAAGAAGACATGCTTCAAAGGCATGTTTCCCTTACTAAAATAACCATAGAGGACTTCAAAAGATTGTATCTCCAAATACTCTCTTTTCTTAAAGAAGACTTCATTTTCAATCACCATAGTTTCAATTTATGTAGATGACATTCTTGTCACATATGACAATCATTGAGAGATACAATCTTTAACAAAGTTTTTACATACTAAGTTTTAGACTAAATACTTGAGTCATTTGCATTATTTCCTTGGCATAAAGTTTGATAAAGTGGACAATGACATGGTTATTTTGATGGGTTATGGGCAAAACATATATTCCTATGTCTGCATGCAACCCTAAATAGATTGGATCTAAGTTTTCTCTAATTGAACATGCAAACTATGAACACAAAGTATAAACCCTAGAACCCTAGTGTATAATCAAAATTCACATAGTAAAGGGTTATGAAACATACCTTTAAGATTGTTGTTGTAAACAATCTTGATTCCTTGCTTGAAAGACCTTTGGTAGCAAGCGCCACAAGTGTCGCGCCTTTAATGGCTCACAAACAAACTCAAGCAACCAAGGAATACTTTAGAGAGAGAGAAGGGAAGAAGAATTTCGGCTCTAAGCCTTTTTGAGGTGTGCATAGACGAAATCCAACCCTAAAGAGGGTTTTATATAGGTGTTAAGAAGGTATTGGATAAGACAGGTGTATCTAAGATAACCTTAATCCCTTAACTCCCTCCCTAAGGCATCCACGACACCCTTAGAGCCCAAGGAAATCCTAAGAGCATCTAGATTTTGTTCCTCCCACTATAGGGAGGTTCTAGAATTGTCCGATGCTCAACTATGGAACATTATCACCTTTAATTCCAAATTAATTTTTGATTAAATATTAATTAAACAATATGATTTCTAATTAATATATTATTTCCATAACACATTAATAAATCATTTATTTTGATTTCTAATTAATTTATTAACCAAGTAATAAATTAATAAATCATTCTTCTCTCTCTAACAGTTATCATATTCAATTGTCAGGTTTGAAGGCAACCCAAAATGATTGTGCTACTATCAATTCAAGTATATACCAACTATAGTTATGGGCTTAGACACTAATCCAACATATTCATCAAAACAATGTCATAAAAGAATTATTACATGATTATGACATGGATGATACAACCCTAGTTTCTAGTCAATTTCCTTCTTGAACCAAGTTACTTCCTGTTATAGACAATCCACTTCTAGATGCAACTAGTTACATACAAGTTATTGAGAAGCTCAATTTTTTGTTGCATACTCGTCGAGATTTATCCTTCTCAATCCAATATATTCAGCTGCTATACGAGTATTAGGATACATAAAAGGGACACTTTCTCAAACTTTATACTTCAACAATCATAATAATTTCAAACTGGAAGCCTATTGTGACTCTGATTGGGCAGCTTATCCAAGCACTCGAAATTTTGTTGAATTATCTTGGCTATATCATTTTTTCATGAGTTAGGAGTTCCAGAAATCACTCACATTCCCCTCACATGTGATAACATGGCTGCAATTTACATAGTTTCTAATGTTGTTTTCCATGAGCGGACAAAACACGGTGAATTAGACCGTCATCTTGTAAGGGAAAAGGTTCAAGAGGGGTTAATTTGATTATCACACGTTACTACTAATGAACAAGTAGATGATATATTAACAAAACAACTTCATGGTCCTCAACATTCAAAAGCAAAATCCATTGGTTTACTTGATTTTTGGACGGTCAAGCCTAAAAAGTTAGCGATTTTCGACGGCATAGTTTCTTTATGGTATTTTTGGATTAGAAATAGATCTAAAGTTTGTAATGTTTGCTGGATAAGATAAAATTCCAGCTATGACTTTATAATTTCATTTTTGCTAGCTTCTTGCAAGTTTTAGTTATTTTCTGCCATTTCAAAAAAAATAATAATAATAAACCTTGGTTTACTTGATAGCCAAAAAGCTTGAGGGATGTGTGTGTGTGGAGGGGGTTAACGGGATTAGTTTGTTAAAAAGTTAGTCATCCGTTTGACAATTAGTTAGAAGAATGAGTATTTTTGTCATTTCACGATTATTTACTTGATTTGTGTCCTTATATATTTGAGCTTATGCTGTTGTCGAAGTAATGAGAAAAACAATTGTCTTTCAGTTCTAAATTAAAATAAACAAATAAGATGTTTTCATTTGTATACAATTTTTTCAAAGCCCGGACATCATTCACACATCTTAAAAGATACAAAAAAATGTATTTTATTGCGGATGTGAAACGTGGAGTTGGACCACCGTTATGATGAATACATAGCAAAGTAGAGGACAATGTTCAGATAAATCGGTTCCATGTTAGCAAGTGATATGATTTCCTATATTAATTATATTAATGTAAAAAACATTCACACATTAAGAGAGGTATATGTTTAATATATTATCTGTAAAAAGGCATAAATAGTTGAACCGGTATGGTTTAATTAAATAACAAGAGTCGAGCCATATTTCCGAGCCGGCTTAGGTACCGGTTTATAACTTCACTGTACGTGACAAGCCGCACTGAAAAGGAAATCTCAAAATAAATAAAACCAGAACCCCCCAATCCCCTCAACTCTGATATAGAACAACCAGAGAGGCTTTAATGTCTACCCATTCCTTCTGAAAACACACACACACACACACACACACTCTTATCTCTCTCCTTTCTTCCTCATTTTGCTTCCTTAGAAACCCCCCCTCTGTCAATTTCCTAGTTTCACTCCCCGTTGCTCAGATCTGTAAACACCTAACAAATTCCATTTTGGTTTTCTGGATGTTCTTTGTTTTTGCCGGAAATTATGAGTAAAGAAGAGTTCTTGAAGATTCAGGTACAAACATCAATTTCTTTTTTGCCCGAAATATGAAATATTGGACTTCACCCATCCAAAAGCAAAGCTTCTTCATTTCAATGTCTTCCGAATTCGTATCATTTTAGTTTCATAATTGACGTCAGTTATTGAGAAAAATCTTGTAGTCTATAAATACATATTAAATTCACTCCATGTCTATCTGTGCATTGCTTGCGTCAAATGCCTTGCTTGCTTTCAACTCAAAAAATTAAACAATATTTTTCTGGAATTGGCTTTTTCTTTTTGTTAATTTTGACTTCTTTATCTCTCCTTTTTGACCCGAAATTGGAGGCAATAATTGGTAAAATGGAAAAGATGGTTACTTTTTTCGATTTTGGTTATGATTATGATTTTTATGTCGTTTCTGCAAGTGTTCTTGGAAAAATTTCTTAAATTTTAATTTATGTGTTTGTTTGTGAGTGCAGACTTGTGCCCTGAAAGTGAACATTCACTGTGATGGTTGTAAGCGAAAAGTGAAGAAAACACTTCATAAAATTGATGGTATTGTGTTCCGATTCAATTTTGTTTTCCAATTGGTGCATATATTTAATTAATTCTCCGTTGTGTTTCCTTTAAATTCAATACGTTTTTTCTGGTTTTAGGTGTTTACACCGTCAGTATAGATTCAGAACAAGGGAAGGTGACGGTATCAGGAAATGTTGATCCGGCGACACTCCTCAAGAAGCTTGCAAAAGGTGGGAAGAATGCAGAGATTTGGGGTGCTCCGAAACCAAATCAACAGGTCAATAATCAGTTTAAGAACATGCAGATCGACGGTGGTAAAGGCGGTGGTGGAAATAACAAAAACCAGGGACAGAAAGGGGGTGGAAACAACCAGCATCAGCAGCAGGAGAAAGGAGGGCAACCACAACAGAAGCAAGTTGGCGGCGTCGGTGGTGGGGGTGGGGGTGGGGGTGGTGGTGGTGGTCCGACACCGCAACAGATACAACAGCTTAAGCAACTACAACAGTTAAAAGGGTTCCAAGATCTGAAGTTGCCGCCTCAATTTAAAGACATGAAGTTGCCAGGTTTTGGTAATGGCGGTGGCGGCGGGAAGGATGCACCCAAGTCTGTCAAGTTTAAGGTGCCGGAGAGTGAGGATGAGTATGATGATGACGATGATGAGTTTGATGATGATGATGATGACTATGATGATGATGATGACGAGTTTGATGATGAAATTGATGATATTCCGATGAAGAAGCCGGTGATGCTGGGTGGTGGTGGTGGTTCTCAGATGGCTAATATGATGATGAACCCACAGTTCATGAAAGGAGGGCAGATGCCACAGCAGTTGATGAAGGGTGCTCCTCAAATGGGAAATCATGGTGGAAATGGTGGGAAGAAAGGAGGTGGCGGGAACATTCCTGTACAGGTGAATGGTGGTGGAAAGAAAGGAGGTGGGGGTGGGGGGTTTGAACAATAATGGAGGCAATCAAAACCACGGTGGTGGTGGTCAAAATAAAAACGGTGGAGGAAGCGGGAATGGTGGTGTTAACATGAGCGTTAATGACGGAAAGAAAGGTGGGATGAATGATGGAATACAAGGCATGCGAAACATGATGAGTATGAGTGGAGGTGGTGGTATGGGGCCCATGGGTCAGATGGGTCAAATGGGTGCGGTTCAAGGACTTCCAGCTAGTGCAGCCATGAATGGTGGTGGTGGTGGTTATTTCCAAGGTGGAGGAGGTGAAGCCATGGCCGGAAACCCGCACTACCAGCAGCAGTTAGCGGCGGCAATGATGAACCAACAACGAGCAAACGGGAACGAAAGGTTTCAGCCCATGATGTACGCCCGCCCACCACCGGCGGTCAACTATATGCAGCCACCCTATCCCCATTACCCCTATCCTCAACCACCACAAGGTGACCCCCTCGGACACTCTTTCAATGATGAGAATACTTCAAGCTGCAATGTCATGTAGGCAGGGCGGATGATGGGCGGCATCAGGTGGTATGTGGCCGTTATTGATACAATGGATTACACAAGGAATAGAAGGGGGTTTTGTGTAGGGGATTAGTTGTTTTGGTTCATTATTCTTGTTTCTTTTTGTTCTTTTTCTTTTTTATATCCTAAAGGGTCTTTAAATTACGGATGATATGTAGTAAACGTATAGATGATGATAATTATGATGATATGTATTTAAAACATGAGGATTTGAGTGGATGATTGAACCTTTTATTTTCATGTTTATATCCTGAAATAAAAGATGAAAGAAATATAAGTTCGAACTCCCAGGCATCGTATTTTTGTGTTATCCTATGTACAAATTATTTATTTATTTTATTTTATTATGATATTTTATTTTTCGCAAGAGGTTATGTTTGTTCTGTAAACTGAAATACATAGAATTATTACCTACTATACGAATTCTTGCGCGTTGCGCAGTGAAGATTAAAAATATATTGTTAATATATTGAAAAATATATTAAATCTTGCGCGTTGCGCAGTGAAGATTAAAAATATATTGTTAAAATATTAAAAAATATATTTTTAAAATGGTTATGTTATTGACATTAACTTTAAGATAATATTTTTACACAATAAATATATATATATTATATATATATATATATATATATATATATATATATAATCTCTTTATTTTGAACAATAATATTCATTGACATCAACCCACAGTCCTCATTAATAGAATTAAATATAATTATCTATTTAGTATTATTTTTAACAATTATTATTATTGATTAATTATATTTTTACTTATGCGATCATTTTTTAATGTCAATAATGATGGTCATTTAAAATATAATTTATTTATAGTTAAATGTAATTTATAATTTGATGTTATTATCATTTAAAATAGTTATTCATTAGTTTTAAACCATTTATTATTATTAAAGAAGACTTTTAAGAAACAATTAATATTAGACAAAATTACAAAAATGGTCCCTGTGGTTTGCCAAAAGTAACAAAGTTAGTCCTTATTAATTTTTTTTGATGCAAATGGCCCCTGTGGTTTGCAAAACTTGCACAGATGGCCATTTGTACTAACGCCGTTAGTATTTAGCCGTTAGGGACTGAATTATCAAGGGTATTTTCGTCTTTTCAAGTATAAAGGGACTGGATTCGCAACTTCGGGTAAACCATAGGGACCATTTTTGTAATTTTGTCTTAAAATAATAAGAATGATAGAAGATGAGGGGAGGAGGATTCGAACCTAAGACCCTCCTACCTCCTTTCCCACTCCTTATTCGGCCAAAGCTCTAACCAACTAGGCTAGAGACAAACTTGCTATATATTTTCGAAAATTAATTAATATTTTATAAAAGCGTAAATAATTAATAATAAAAAAATTAATAAAATATTTAAAAAAATTAATAAAACAAAATATATTTTTAACGAATTGTAAAAAAATATTTTTTACAAAAAATTTACTTGTTTTTTTACGTATTTGTTTTACATAAAATATTTTTTTAATGTATTTAAAAAAATACTTTTTCGAATACTATGTTATTACATTGCTATGATCCTAAAACATATTTTTACGTTTTTCATATAAAAATACGTTTTTTTCTTTCACATAGAAAAAAAAAAGTTTTTTACGTATAAAATATGTTTTTTATATATTTAAAAAATACATTTTCGTATAAAATGTTTTTAAGTAAAAACATTAAGAACGTGATAACATAACGTAAATATATGTTTTAAGATCAAATCAAAACGACTTATATTTTTTACGTAAAAAAAACGTAAAAATGCAGTTTCATATAATATGTTATCACGTTAACGTTTTTAACTAAAAAAGCGTTATATGGGTGAGGGACCAATCACCCATACGTAAAAAAACGTCTTTAGTTTGCTTTACGTAAAAATATATTTTTACGTAAATGTATTTTTACGTAAAAAAACGCATTTTTACGTAAAAAAAACGCATTTTTACGTTATGTTAACGTCTTTAGTTTGCTTTACGTAAAAAATATAAGTCGTTTTGATTTAATCTTAAAACATATTTTTACGTTATGTTATCACGTTCTTAATGTTTTTACGTAAAAACATTTTATACGAAAATGTATTTTTAAAATATATAAAAAACATATTTTATATGTAAAAAAAACTTTTTTTTCTATGTGAAAGAAAAAAACGTATTTTTATATGAAAACTTAAAAATATGTTTTAGGATCATAGCAATGTAATAATATAGTATACGAAAACGTATTTTTTTAAATACATCAAAAAAAATATTTTATGTAAAACAAATACGTAAAAAAACAAGTAAATTTTTGTAAAAAAATATTTTTTTACAATACGAGCTAAAAATATATTTTGTTTTATTAATTTTTTTTCTAAATATTTTTTTATTTTTTTATTATTAATTATTATTTACGCTTTTATATAATATTAATTAATTTACGGAATTATATAACAAGTTTGGCTCTAGCCTAGTTGGTTAGAGCTTTGGCTGAGTAAGGAGGGGGGAAAGAGGTTCCGAATCCTCCTCCCTTCATTTTTTTATCATTTTTATCATTTTAAGACAGAATTACAAAAATGGTCCCTATGGTTTACCCAAAGTTGCGAATCCAGTCCCTTTATACTTAAAAAGACGAAAATACCCTTGCTAATTCAGTCCCTAACGACTGAATACTAACGGCGTCAGTAAAAATGGCCATTTGTGCAAGTTTTGCAAACCACAGGGGCCATTTGCATCAAAAAAAATTATTAGGGACTAACTTTGTTACTTTTGGCAAATCACAGGGACCATTTTTGTAATTTTGTCTATTATTATTAAAATGTGAAACATACACTAAATAATAAAGTGATAAGATAGACAATTTGCATTTCAAAAGAGACTTGCATGGATAATATGACATATCCATGTAATTTGATTTTATTACTTATAATTATTGCTTATTAGTTTTAAAACCACTTCTTATTATTAATAAGTAAAAGAAACTTTTAAAAAAACTTATTTATAATTAAAATGTTAAACATATACTAAAAATATAAAGTGATAAGATAGACAATTTGCATTTTAAAAAGGCTTACATGGATAATATGGATAATATGACATATCCATGATTTTTAATTAATTATTGTTTTTGAAGCAAACATGAACATACAAACATGTATACAATAGTTAATTAAATATTATATATATATATATAATATATATATATATATATATATATATATATATATATATATAGATATATCATCTTCCATAACATATGATCGATAACATGAAGCTAATCTAATTTACATTAAAATTTCAACCACAACATACAATGATATTCTTAAAAGAATACTTAAATCAAAAAAATACAAAAAAGAATTTGTATATAACAAACTTACAAATTAAAAACTTAAACATAATAACATGGCTCGAAAAATTGTTCAAAGCCCTCAAACCAACACAAAAAACTTTAAACTTGTTTTCTTTGTGAATTTTGTATGTGATTTGTATTTTGTGTGTCTACTCAAAAAGATTGACATTTTATAGTAGAGTATCCATTAATTGTTTATTAAATATATTATATAGTTATAAAACCTTTGAATTGTTAATCATTATTAAGAGACTTTTGAGTGGTATTCATTAAAATATAAGGTTTCAAATGCATGAGGTGTTTGCAAATTTTTATGGGGGTTTCAAATGCATGAGGTTCAAAGAAAAATGCTAGCTTTATAAGTATGTATGATATGATGTTCGTTTCGTTGGTTCTTCGTTTATAGGTTAAATTTGTTCGTCTAACTTGAAGAAGCCGACTTGATTATGTATAAGGGAAGTTTATAATTAACCTTGATATTACAGGAATCAACAAGTTTATTCTTAAGGTCAGCAAATTTTATGAATAACTATACGAATACTCCTGCGTTTCGTAGAATACAACGTTAAAATATTTATAAAATATATATATTTTTATATATAACAATGATGTTAATGTTAACTTTAATATAATATTTTTTTATAATAAATTGATATAAACATTGACTATTTTGAATTATATGATAAAATAGACATTTATTTGTGTTAATAATTTGGATACATGAGTTACTCATAAATAACATAAAAATTATATGGGTGAATTTTATTTATAGTTTTTGTTATGCTTTTGAGTAAATTACATGAATGGTCCCTATGGTTTGGGGTAATTTACATGTTTGGTCCCTAATTTATTTGTATAACTCGGACGGTCCTTACTATATATTTTTGTTACTTCTTCGGTCCCTGACATACATAAAAAGACTATTTTGCCCATTATAATTATTTTTTTTAATTTACTTATTGCATATTTATAGTTTATATTATTATTTAAATAAACACACCTCATCCTAACTACCCCACCTAGACCCCACACCCTTTCTTTCCCCTTTCCTCCATTCTTTTATTTTCGTTTCATACGACTCCCCCTCCCAATGAGAACACCATTGTTTGTCTCTCCTGCACCACCAACATCCACATGTCGCCGGAGTTGAAATCGGGTCTTAAATTAGATTTATCTTTAAGCCTTGAAATCAGATATCGTATTTATAATTATAACTTGAGATAAGATATCATATTCAAACATTGAAACAAAAAGTAGTTATCAATTCTAAAATTGAAATTGAAACAGACGGATCAAAACTTGAAACTTGAAATCAGATTTATGTAGATACACTTAAACCAGACTAACAAAATTGAAATCAAGTTCTCAATGTCAAGGATTTATGTAGCCAGATGTGAAATTAGACAGAAGTTTATACATATGCTCTGATACTTGAAAATACAAAATACATAGGGTGTACTAATAGAAACTGAAATAATCTTAACTGAGACCAGCGACGATCAGATTGACAATAGAGGCCGGCGGACGATGAAGGCCGATGTCGATTGCTTGATGATGAAGACCAAATAAGAAGATTTCTTGATAATGGAGAGTAACGGTAGAGACGATGGGACATACGGTGGTTGGGTTGATCGGGTCGTCG